CCCTGGTGGCCGGGTCGTAAGCGTGGGCGTGGGCGTGGGCGGCGCGGGCGGCCTCGAACATGGCCTGCTGCTGGCGCTGTTGCTCGCGGTAGGCGGCGGCGGCGGCGGCCTTCTCGGCCTGGCGGGCGGCATGCGCTTCGGCGGCGGCCTGGCGTGCCATCTGCTGGCGTGCCTTGATCTCTGCCGAGGTGGCGGTGAGGCGGTCGACGCCGCGCACCATGCGTCGAAGGTCGGCGATGGTGCAGCGCGCCTCGGCGCGGAAGGTGAAGACGCGCTTGAGGATCGAGTTGATGCCGTCCGAGATGGGCAGGATCTCCTTGAGGAAGTCGGGGTTGCGCAGATACTCGCGGAAGGTGTCGTCGGCGGGGCACGCCTGCTTCCACGGGTTGCGGCCGCAGATGAGGTTGACGAGGATGACGCCGAGCGACCACACGTCGTTGGCGGCGGTGCTGTAGCTGGTGAGTCGACGCGTGATGCCGCCCTGGCATTCGGGGCCCATGTAGAAGGTGCTGCCGCATCCAAAGTCGGAGCTGGTCTTGTCGCCTGTTGCCAGTCCAAAGTCGGCGAGCACCACCTTGGCGCCGCCACGCAGGCAGAGGATGTTCTCGGGCTTGAGATCGCGGTGGTAGATGCCCATGCGGTGGCAGAACTCGACGGCGTCGAGGATCTGGTCAAACACGTCGCGGATGAGGGCGTCCATCTTGAGACGCTCGCTGGTGAAGGCGACTTCGATGCCCTGTGCCTCGGCGGCGCGGGTGACGGCGCTGGGTAGCATGTAGCGCTGCGTCTCGGTGATCATGCTGAAGAGGTCGCCGTCGGGGCAGTAGTCGAGCACGACGTAGACGCATGGGTCCTGTGGGTCGTCGATGACGCGGTGAAGGCTGACGACGTTGGGGTGACTGGAGGCCATGGTGTGGAGCATGATCTCACGACGCTGAAAGGCACGCTGGCGAGCATCGAGGCCAACCTTGTTGAGGCACTTGACGGCGTAGTAGCCGGAAGCGTGACCCTCCTTGGCGGCCAAGAGCGATGCCGAGGCCTGGTGTGAAGAGGTGGATGCATAGGCGCCGTGGTGCTGGTGAAGGTCTCGGGCGAGGTAGACAACGCCGTAGGCACCAAGGCCGAGCACCTGGACGAGCTCGAGGCGCCCCTCGGCGATGCGGTGGCCGATGAGGTTCTTGTGCTGCTGGTTGGCGCTTGCCGACGACATGGTGACTGGCGAAGCAAGGGGTGAGCGTGCAGCAGACGGCCGGTGGGGGTTGAAGCTAGCAGGTGAGATTGCTAGCCACAGGGCGGGCTCGACTGTTGCTGGATGACGTGAAGCAAGCTCTCTATTCGGCGGAAAAGCAGCTAGGCAGGCAGTACGATGTCGCGATGGGGATCTCGATGACGGGCTTGAGCAATCTCGGTCGGTCGGTAGGACTGCTGAGGCGGTAGATGGCGATCGAGAGGATGCAAGACTTTCGGTGCTGGTACGAGCTGAAAAGAGCGTAGAGCCGCTGCAGATGCAGACTAGGACGGGAGTGTGGGACGATGAGGTCGATAGGTCGACGAAAGTGGTGGGAAAGCAGCGTGCCGGTAGGAACACGTTGTCGATGTGAATGTGGGCAGCGACAGTGAGGATGGTGGTGATGATGGTGGGTTGGAGGGACCACAACGACCGGCGACAAGGATAGATCGAAAGTAAGGGATGGGGGATTCGGACGGCAGCGGCAGGCTGAGCGGACGAGGCACCCAAGGTTATGAGGGTATATGGACTGCGATGCAGCTGGGAGGGGAGGGCACGCAGCAGGGCGTCAGCGAACAAAAAAGAAAAGACAGGCAAAGCAAGCCAAAGCACAGCGAGGGAGGAGGAGGCGTCGATGCGGCTCGACGGTAGCTGGGTGAGGATGGGCAGGCAGGCCAGGCGGAGTAGCAGATCGAGGGAAAGGCCGCCTGGGGGTCATGTCGTGTAGGGCGAGCTGCAACGATGGCTGCTGGGTGACTAACGGGAGCAGAAACCCAGGCACGGCATGCACCAGCAGACGGCACCCAGCCAGGACGGTAGCCCGGATGGGGGCGAGCCAGGCTCTGGCAATCGGAGATTTGGCGGCGGCGGAGGAGGAGAACGAGCGAGAAACCGAAAGCGAAAAAGCGAATGCGAAAGCGGACGTGAAGCCAAGCCGAGGACCAGCCGCTAGGCACGGCCAGGAGCGTGTGGGAACCTGCAGGAGGACGGGGCGTGGAGCGTGACCCAAGAGGGCAGGCAGGGCAGGCCAGATGAGGCGGGCAAAGACGCGGCTTGCAGTCCGTCCGAATCGGCTCAGTCATGCGGCCAAGCTACCAGGAACAGCAGCGGGTAAGTTAGCGCGAGGGCCAAGACGCAGCGCCGAGGCGGGTGTGGGATCGAGGAATGGATGACGAACGCTCGATTCGCACCGCTTGTGGGCTGGCCTAACGCAAACGGAAACGGATACGGAAGGTCGAGGTGCTGCGCCCGCGTCACCCAGGCGGAGTGGCTGGCTGTCTCTGGATTGGCATCCAAGGCACAACCCCACCACGGCTGGGATGCTCCCCCAATTCATCTTTAATTTTCAATTTTGATTTTAGTAAAAGAATCTTACCTACTCATTCAGGATATCACACAGAGGCTTGGTGCCCTTCCGAAAGCGCGGCGGCCGACCCTTTTTTTTTAAGCAAATATACTCCTTTCTTCTTTTCTTGGTGTGGGAGCGAGTTGGTTTGGTTGCATGCGCGGAAATGCACGCTGGTCTCACTGGACAGCCTCGGTGCGCCTGCCGCCCAGCTGCCGCGCAGGATTTCCAGAGCACGCGCGTCAGGTGCCGGATACGGCAAGCAAGCCGCGCTTGCTCTTGCTCATGCTCTCGGCCGCCCTGCCGTCGAGACGGACCTGCCGCAAACAGCTTTGACACGGTTGACAGGCAAGGCGTCTGTCCACGCAACGCGCAACGCGCAACGCCATGGGAATCCGTTGGAGCCACATTCACCCGGCCTTCCACGGCTCACGCCCGACAGCGTGGCTCTGCCGGCCATGCGACGGCTGCCGTCAGGATTTGGCCGGCCCCCTTCGGCAAGCCATCTCGGAGGCTACAACGTTGGACGCGATCCTCACGGGACCTCTCCCACTCGGATCGCTTCCGTTGACGCCGTGCATGCCGGTGCACACGTCAACGCGATGGGAGCGACCCAACTGGAGCCACCCGCCCGCACCAAGATGCAAATCCCCCGAATTCGAACGCAGCCTGACAGTACAATGCTGTCGCTTGTCGGGGCTACACCAGGCAGAGTCGAATTGGATCTCCACTCTCACACTTTGGCGCGGCGGATGCGGAGCGACTCGACTCGAGCAGCGCCGCTTCCGGTCTGCCCATCCATCCCAGCCACAAAATGCTGTTCTCCGACCCACGAATCTCGTTTTTTCGAGATTTCAAATTTGGAATTTCGATTTCCAATCAAGCCCCCAACCTCCCGCGTCGCCATCGAGAGGCGCGACTGGCTTGCTGGCCCTTCGACGTTGCAAGGGCGGCGTGGTCGATCGTCCCACGCCGTCAAATTTAGCTGCCCGTGGGGCCGGAAACGCCATGGTTCGCTCTTGGTTGCTGTTCATGCTGCCAAGCCCTCCTCGTGGCAAGGCGAGCATCTCACCGAGCTTGAACAAGCTGTCATCGGAGAGCCAAGCCCCTGACTGCGGCGACTTGCTTGGCGAAGCTTCTTCCAGCTCTCTTGTTTTCTTGGCTTTGCAAAACGTAGCTTGGCTAGAGTGCGGATGCTGGAAGAGGCTGGAAGCGAATGCTGCGTACTTTTTCTTTTTCTCTCCTTTTCTCTTCAAATCTTCGGAGGCAGCCGCCACGTTGCTTTTTCGCATGGGAGCAGTCGGCGTTCTGTGCCGAGCGCAGTGTCCACGCCTGCAGCAACGATGACGCCGATTCTGGCAACTGCATGCCCACGCCCGGATCGCATCAAAATCCGGCTCGATCGGGCCGCACCGAGCACGATGGCCATGCCACGACGACGTCAGGTTGACATCAACACGCTGCGGCGTCCAGCATGGTCGCCGACAACCATGACGGTCAGCAGCCAACCTTACGGCGTTCCACATCGGCCATCTTGGCATGATCGTCGTGTCGGCTCGCCACCATGCTTCGCGCCGGCGTGGGTTCCATCTTGCATCACCCTCCGTCTCAGATTGCCACGTCCGACGTCGCCGGCTTCTCTCGCTTCGATGCTCGCGTCGCCCACACGCTTCTTGACTCAAATCATGCGGCACCACGCCCCGTTCTTCCTGGATCAACGCTGACCATGCGATCACGACGTCCGCATACGGGTGGATAGCGGCGAGTGCTGCGTGAGAGATAGTGGGGCTGTGTCACCGTGATGCGCCAAGTCCGAGGAGACACACGCCAGCCATAGCATGTCCGCCTCCGCAGAACGCCGCCCAGCTCAAACATGGCGGCGTCGAAGCTGCGACCGGACTCGCTTCAATGGGTGTGCAGCTGGCGTGTTCCTGCTTGCTCGTCTTGAATCTTCTCGAAAAGGGCAGGGGAGCAAAGTCGCAATAAACTCGAACCCCTGCGGCTGGGCGCAAGAGGAAAATGCAAGCGAAAAAGGAAAAAGGAAAATCGCATGCGAAATTAAATCGAGCTCAGGCCCGAGTTTGTGGCTCACGGCTGAAGCTGCAGTGCGGCTGCAGCGTGCGCGAACGCATGCATGGAGGGGAAAGAAAGTTGCATGCAGCTTCTCGCTTCGAGCGTCTGCAGGCCGCCTCCCCGATCGACCTGGCGTCAGTACAGCTGGGAGCTCCGCGTGTTCCACCCACGCCACGACTCGCTGTACACCATCTCAGCCCAATATTGTCGTCAGGTCTTTTTAGCTCGATGCGTCCTTGGGTCCGACGCAGACGTGCAAGACAAGCATGACATCCCGTGCGGCATTCGAAGGCTCGCTCATACAGTACGCACGCACATGCGGCAGAACACAGCAACGGAACTAATGGAACAGGGCCAAAGCGATACGGAGAGACAAGGACGATCTGCTGCCGCCTCGGCTGACGTCTCGGAGTCCAGGTCGATTGCTATAGTTATCCTGAACACCCAGGCCTCGAGGCGAGGCTAGGTCGGTGCATGGCGTTGGCCACTGGAGGCCGAGGAAAGTAGCGCCGATTCGGATGGACCGCGAATAGACAAAAAAAACAAAAAATCGGACCGAAGAGGGTGCATTCCGCGAGCTCAAACCGAGTGGTACACTGGCAATTTTTGGAAACGCTAAGCGAGGCGAGATCGCGATTCTCGTGGCCGACACACCCAGCGACGGGCGCAGCCAGCCAAGGCTCCCTCGACGATCGGCGACGAGCACAGGGGGCGTGTCACCAAGAAATCGTGTTTCGCCGCTATCAGCCTGTACGCTCGGGCTTTGCTCTTCAGCCGCGGTAGGTCTCGAGCCGCACGCCACCGCTTGGATCCTCTCGCCTGCCAATATTCGTCCACTTCCGCTGCAATACCGCACCCACGCTTGGACCTCGGTGTGACTTTTTTTAAAGACGATGGGCACGGTCGCTCGTGCGGCGGCTTCCATCTCGCCGATCAGCACAATGGCGTCGCCAGCCCAAGGGATCTGCCAAAGTGCAGATCCGACCAGGTATCCCGAGTGCCCATGGTGTTGGGCTCAGCAAGGATTGCTTGGGCCCCTCTCTCTCCGTGTTCGGACAGGCCATCGCCTGCGCCATTGTCTCGCCACAGCCGTCCCGTCCCATTCCCACCGCGAGGAGGCCATGGCGCAGCGCGACTTGTGGGAACGGCGTGTAGCGTGGGTGTCACAAGTCAGCTGTCGCGCGATGTGTCGGCAAAAGCGAGAGGTTCGAGCACATGATGCGCTGCAGGTCCGCACTCGAGCTGCGGGGGCATTCCAGATCAAGCGACTAGGCGAGACACGAGACATAGCACCGAGTGTCACACTCGAGGCCCATCTGACGGGGACAGTGACAGCCAAGCCCTCCATGAATACGCCCGGGCCGGGATCAAGACATGAGCGCGCGCCGAGTGGGGATTTTCGACAGGCCGCGACGACGATCGGCTGGACGGGTCAGCAGGAATGCAAGGTTTGCGACACGGCCATTGGTGATTTTGGCACGACGATGAGCGCAAAGTGCATCGCCAAAGCCCAGGTCTCAGTGTCTCGAGTTAGCTGCGATGGTCAGGAGCCGCGCTGGCGGAGCACCAAAAGTGGCGGGGGTCCAGGAAGCGTTGGGGCAACAAAGTGGCACTCTGAGCCGATCCCGCCCCAAACAAACGCACGCAGCCAGCGCGTAAATGGCAGCGTGCGCGAGCGGGTCCAGCTATCGAGTCGGTCGAGGTGCACAGGCGAGATGGCAGTCCAAGCGGGCGTCGAGAGAGGAGCGGCACAGAGGCAGAGCGGCGTATGCTCGTCAGCTGCAGCTGCGCGTCGACGCGCATCGAGGCGGGGCAAGCGACGCGTGTCGATTTCGGCGAGGCGCAGGCACTTTGGCCAGAGCGAACGTCGTGTAAACGAGGATCGTGGCGGCGAAGCGAGTTGCAACTCCGCAATCTGCCTTGAAGCTCCGCTCTGAAGCGTGGCAACCGCTGCTACCACGGCGTTAGGGGTGGGCATGGGGATGAACGCTGGATCTGGCAAGTGCCGCTGGTCGTGGTGCCAAATCGACCGATTCCCGATGAGGCTCGTCTAGTGCTGCCACCCTGCCACCCTGCCACCCGTTTGGGCGAACAATCGCCTCGCCTTGGCACCGCCGATACACGGGAAGCGTTGGCGAGGCGCACTCGCTCCCCTTTGTTTGCTCGGCTGGGGTGGTCCGTCTTTGCCATGCACGCTCTGCGCGCCAAAGACCGCGTGACCCCCCCACGAATGATTGCTGCGCGCCTGGCACGTCGATGGGCGACCTGTCACTGCGTATTGCAACCGTAGCTAAGCACAATTGCAAGCAGCGCCGACAGGGCGAGCGAGGCCCAAGCGCGTACAATGGCAGCAACCGATGCTGATATCCATGACAACCTGGTTGCACGCCGCATCGTCGCCTGCTGCGCTTGGGCGTGCTCCTGGCGTGGCGCGCGATGAGGTCGGGCCGAATGGACGAGCGAACGTGCAGCCGACGTCTCCTTGCATGATCGCGCCCGGGTGGACTGATGGGCACAACGTTTTGGCGCTCTGACCCTTTGATCCTGCCGGCACCAATTTTGGGCGCGGTGCGAGGCTCGGTGTGGCTGCCGGGGATGCGTGCCGACGCCACCTTTTGCTGTCGAGCAGGAAAAGCAGCTGCGCGTCCTCACATCGCCGATGGGTACGGCGTGGCCACCACACGCGGCAGATCCACGCGCCGGCACCCTGACCGCCACGCTGCCGACTCTGTTGTCCGTTGACCGTTGCGCGGTGTGTGTGTGTGTGATGCGGGTGTTTGCTTCCATCCGACGGATTGAAGCCACCGCACCCCGGTCAATTTTTGCGACCAGAAGCCGCACGCGTCTCGGCCATGCTGCTCTCCGGCATCGGCGGTGCCTCGTGCAAGCTGTCGAGTGACGTTGGCCCGTCGGCGGTGGACATCGTCTTCGATGCATCGAATCGGTTTGCGGTGCATCTGGTGCTTGTCAGCGTTGAGCGCCGCCAATGTCATATTGCGTCTCCGCTTGGAGCTTGCTTGGGCTTCGAAAACGGCTTGTCCAGGCGCAGTTGGGGGTGTTTGTCTCAGCGTTGGTTTTGTGCCATGAAAGGTTCTCAAGACGCACTCGAGTCCGAGCCGCCCCACTTGGCACACCCCCGGCACCAGGCGCGATTGCTTGGCTTGGGTTGGGCATCGCAGTGCTGCCAAGGCAGCTCGGACAAAGTGGCGTCGACATGTCCAGCACACACTCGCACGCGCTTCGCTTGCATGCATCCTCGCGCACGCCAACATCGCCAGAGCAGTGAATCGTGTGGATTTTCAACCTCCGTCCACAACCCTTGCCCAACCCCCTTGCATATCGTCAAACCCAAACCCTGCTTGCCTCGCCATCGTGCGCCACCAACCAACATCTCAGCCCGGATGAACTTGGGGTAAGCTCACAAAGTGCACTGTCGATCCCACTGTATCTGCCCGCTCCTCCTACCCAAACCCAGATGCCGTCACAGCCACCAACAGACCCTTTCGGGATCGGCGAAAAAGCGCAAGCCTAACAATGCCACCACTTTTATTGACCCAACACGCATCTCCATCATCTTTCATTGTGCGGTGGCGAGCTGCGTCGGCTGAGCATGATCATTATTTTCGTAACTTTCTCGGGTTGCGATGCGGAAGTCAAGCTCCCGTGCTGCGGATGTTGCCATAAAGTGCCACTGCGACAATGGCACGGCCTCTTGCGTAGGTCACAATGCCAAGGGCTCGAGCCTCCTCGTGGCCCCGTGGCCCCGGCCGAGACCCGATTGTGATTCTTGGCCAAAACCACTCACTCTCACACAGTCACACCCACAGTGCCATTGTGATTGGGATGTCGACATTGCGTGCTTTTGCTAATCCTCAGCGATGGTTCCACTTGAGGTCTCGTGCGCGGAATCCGACGATCTCATCGAGAGCCTCGCGCACATCGTCCTGTGCCAGGAAGTAGGCCGCCTCGGTGCCTCTGTTCTTGTCGAGATCGACCGTGGTGCATGTGACGGGCGCAAAGAGGTCGAGCGTATTGACGTAGGCGAGCAGCTTTTCGTCCTGGCCGAGTGCAAGCACAAAATCAAACGTATGCGTGTGGTGCACGTGGTGCGGCAGGTGCGATACGGATCCAGCATGCGTGCGCATGGGCGAGTGATGCACCACCGGCGACGATGCGCGCGTGCTGTGCGCCGTAGGCATCGGCCAGTAGTTTGACGGCTGCTTGTAAGCGCTCTCGAGCGGCGCATCGCTCGTCTCCGCCACCGAACCCACCTTGTGCCCAGACGCATACGCCGTCGCCCCCAACCCCTGACTCCCGCTGCCACCCGTGGCAAACGATCCAACCATGCTCATCTGCATGATAATGTGCTGCACCGCCGCCACGCGGCTCGCGTGCCGCGGCAGGATGAGGCAGTTGGTCCGACACGGCACCACGCGCAGCGAGTGCGAGAAGCGCTCGTGGATTAAGTTGGCCACTTCGGCCGACTGGCGACGTGCCCACTGCGCCTCGTGCGAGTTGCGGTCGCCCAGCGTGTCGTTCCAGAAGCGCCAGCACATGGACGCACCGCGCTGCTCGATGTACGAGCCGGGCGTGCGCTCGGTAAAGTAGCTGAGGATGTCGTGCACCGGCTTGAGGTCGAACGGCGCCACGAGGCTGTTCCAGTGGTTCTCGCCGGCGTGCTTGACAAAGCAGCCGTCCTCGGCGACGAAGCCGACGCTGTCGATGCGCGTGGCGACGCGATCGAGGTCGTGCGTGCCCATGCCACTCAGGATGTACACCACGTTCTTGCCGTCGGCTGCCAGATCGTTGAGCAGCGTAAAGAGCCACTCGGGCGGACGGAAGCCGCCCTGCTCGTGCGCGAGCAGCGGGTCGTGCTTCACCAGCGTCTCCTCGAGATCGATGAGCAGCAGTCGCGAATGCGCGGCGCGCCACTCGGACACGAGCTGCGCCACTTCCAGACGCGGCACAAACATGTTCTCCAGCCGCTCCTGCTCGAGATGCGCGCGCTCCAGATGGCCGAGCAGCGACGTGATCCATTGCTGCGCCGTCTGCGTGACCACGACGCGGTGCAGATCGGTCCAGCGCTGCACCATCTCGCTCTCGTCCATGGTGAGCGCCTTGTGGATGGCGTGCGCCACCTGCTTGGTGTTCCACGGATTGATGCCGATGCACGCGCGCAGACCCGAGTAGGTGCCCGTGAATTCGGAGAGCACCAGCGGGCGGTGGCTCACCTCCTGGCACACGACAAACTCGTGCGAGGTGAGGTTCATGCCCTCGCGCAGGCTCGTGGCGAGGAAGCAGTCGGCGACGGTGAGCAGCGCCAGGTACTGGCTGAAGGTGATGTCCTGCACGTGCAGAAACACGACGGGCTGGTAGGTGAGCGTGCTGTACTTGTTGTTGATGCGCGACACGACGTCGGTGGCCTCGCCGATCTCCTCGTTCTCCTCGGTGGTGGCGAGCGCGACCTGAATGAGCACCACCTGGCCAGCCCACTTTGGATGCTCGTCGAGGAACGCTTCGAACGCGAGCAGCTTCTGGCGCACGCCCTTGATCCAGTCGAGCTTGTCGCGGCCGACGATGATGCGCTTGCCAGCGTACTTTTGGCGCAGCTGCGCCACCCACTCGCTCACGTCGGGATCGCGGCGCTTGGCGTTGAGGCTGCGCACGTCGATGCCGATGGGGAAGGGCGCGACAGTGACAAAGCTGCCTTCGAGCTGAACGCCCTTGGGAGTGGCTTCGAGCTGGAGGATGCGGCTGACGGTCTGGCGGAAGTGGCGGCAGAAGTTGTGGGTCTGGAAGCCGATGAGGTCGGCGCCGAGCATTCCTTTGAGCAGCGTCTCGCGCATGCTGAGGCAGCGGAAGATCTCGGACGAAGGGAAGGCGATGTGTACGAATAAGCCGATTGTGGCGTGGGGCAGGCGCTCGCGCACCATCTGCGGCACGAGGAGCAGATGGTAGTCGTTGATCCACACGATGTCGCCTTGCTGGTAGACGTCCTCGATGGCATCGGCGAAGCGGCGGTTGACCTCCCAGTAGGCCTGGAACGCCTCGTGCTCGTTGTCGAGGCCCTTGGAGGTGGGCGAGGTGTAGTGGAAGGTGGGCCAGAGGATCTGTTTGCAGAAGCGGTTGTAGCTGAGGTCAAAGTCGTCGTCCTCGAGCCAGACGGGCATGGAGGAGCGCTCCTGCATGTACTTTTGCTCGAGCTCGCGTCGCTCCGTGGGGCCGAGCCAGCCTCCTTCGATCGAAAGGCCCGGCGTGCCGACGTAGAGCTTGCCTGCACGCAGACGCTCGCGCTCAATGCTCTTGACCGCGTTGACGAGGCCGCCGTTGGCCGAGGGATTGGGGACGAACTCGAAGGGCGGGAGCGCCCCATCTACGCTGTCGTCGGCGACGGTGTCGAGCGATGCGGTTGAGGTGCGGCGACCGAGCTGCGATCGGTTTGCGGAGGAAGCGCGCCGTGCGTGGGCGCGACGGCCGGCGGTGCGGAAGCTCCTGTTGCGGCTGAAGACGGATGAAGGAGCTGCAGGTGGGCCGCTGGAGCGCGCGGCTGCGTGGTGATTCACGCGGTCTCTGATGGAGGCGGTGGGCGACGAGGCGACGGAGCGCTCGCGCGGCGTACGGGCGTGGCCAAGCAGCTCGCGCGACGAAGGGCGTTCGGGAGCCAGAGAAGCGGTGCTGCGAGTTTGGACGGGAGAAGCGATGGCGCCCCTTCCATGGTCGTTCACGGTGCCACCGGCGGCGGCGGTGGTGGTGCGACCTGGACGCGAGGCCGAGGGCAAGCCCGGGGTCTTGGATCCGGATGCTGCGACGGTGGGCTTTGCAGACGCGAGGCTCCTGAGCGTGGGCAGCTGGCCCGGACCGGCCGAGACGGTGCCTGATGGATTCGCCTTGGTCATGCTCAGAGATGAGGGGAAAGCACGCGCGAGTCCTGGCGGACGGTTTGCGACGCCGGGAGTTTGTGAGCCTGCCTTGGGAGTGACGGCGCCGGAGCCAAAGGGGTGGTGCCTCTCGCTTTCCGCGTTTGTGCTGGGCGGTGGGATGGGACCACCACGCCTGGCAGCGAGGTCCGAGATGATGCTGAGGGGAGTGGTGATGCCAAGTTTTCCGCCAGCCATTGCGCCTGGGGTGCGGGTGCCTGAGCCTTCGGGGATGTTGGCGGCGGGGGCGAGTGCGGTGCCACTGCTGGTGTTGGTGTTGAAGCTGGTGCGGCGGCTCTTGGGCGCTGCGGATGCGGCATCGGCGAGCGGCTGGCCAAGTAGAGGAGAGGTGGAGAAGACGGAGGCAGCAGAGGGGTCTGCGAGCGTGGCGGCACGACCATGATCGGAAGCTGGGGCGACGGGGATGTCCGAAGGGCCGGACGAGGGGCCGCCGGCGGCTGAAGTGTGCTCGGACATGGAGCCGCGACGCGAGTTGGCGAGTGGGCTGGATGCGCCCGAGATGGGGCCGTCGCGCATGTCGAGCTTGGGCACGGCGGCGGCCTCGTACATGAGCTCGCTCATGTTGATCCTCGTGTCTGTGAACGACGGCTGGCGGTTCTTGGGCGTGCGTGCGGGCAGCGGCGCTGTGCGTGATTGGCGGTCGTTGTTGCTGCTGTTGTTGTTGTTGGACATGGACATGGATGCGGCGAGCCTGGACGAGAGCTCGTGGAGGGGCAGCGGCGCATCGTTGGGGATGGACTCGGGCGAGGGGGGTGCGGTGGACTCCTCGGGCGACTCTGCAAGGGCGGACTCGAACTCGGGCTCCAAGAAGTGGAGAGTGTCCGGCAAGAAGAGCGAGGCGATCACCACGCGGTGACCGCCGAGATTGCCTCTGCGCGGCATGGCGATGGTCGGTGGTACACGACTGGCTTCAGTGCGATGCGTTGGAGATGATGGTGGTGGGGTTGTGCATCTACGGAGCGGGCGGTCTGCGCGGCCTTAGGTAGTCGTGCCAGGGCGCAGTGCAGCGAGGGTGGTGGTGGTGGATCGGAAGGATGACGCAGAGCTGAGTGGGATGGTTGGCGGGATGAACGTGCGCAGGCAACAAGCACAGAGAGGCGTTGATGAGTGGCTCGGTTGTTGTGCGATGCAGTGCGAAGGAATCTACTGGAAATTTATTGAGCTGGCTGGTAGACTGCGGACCGGCTGAGTGATTCCTGCAGCTGCGTTTAACGCTGCTTGCCGTCACAGCCGAGCTTGAATTCAAGCTCATCCACATCGCACGTTGCCAGCTCCGAGCTTTTCCGCGCGACGCACTGACCCGGTCCACGCAAAATCCCAGCCGACGGGCATCCGTAGTCAAGTATCTTCGTCGGCAGTTCGCCGCGATCGGATCATGTGCGGGGGGGGGGAGTCGTTGGTCTCGGACACAGCGGCGGAGGAAAACAATGCGAAAATGCACTTCGCCCAGGAAAGCAAAACAGCAACGCACCGGCGAATTGCTTGCGAGACCAGTCCTCTCTGGAATAGACTTCTCGCTAAGAGCGCAGTGCCGTGCCTTTTTTTTTTT